GGGTAAAAATATTGCTTTATTCCAAATGAACATACAACACAGTTTCCTGTTCTTTTGGGGGCTTCTTGCGAACTGAATAGTTTGGTCTTATGGTTTCAACAATTTATTCCTTCCGTATTAACCACAGAAGCCAATGCCTTGGTCTACACATAGTAGACTTGCCCTAAAATCAATAGCAATGAGGCTGATGAGAAAGAAAATGGTAACTCTCAGTTTGATATTTGGCCCAAGTAGCTAATGTTAGTAGATGTGATTCAAAATAAATACACATCTTCCATCAATACATTTTATGATACTGATATCATCAATAAGCCAGTTGTTGTTGTTTCAAAAGGATTCACATCATAAAATGGTCTAGACGTTGTCACAGGTTTCTAAGACCGACCATGCAAGAACCTTGATTTAAGAACTCACTAACTGAACATTATATTGAATGGAAAATTTGATGTGAACAGATCCAAGAGGGAAATATTTTTATCTGAATATTAGGTTCCCTGATGTTTTAGAACAAATTTTAGCAAGCTTAATACACACATACACATGCACACACATACGCACAAAGAACACATGTGCAAAAGCATATGTGTTCAAGGGAGAAAGTTCACACCCTTGCACGCTCACTCACACACATACACACACACACACACACACACACACACACACGCTGAGAAATGTTCCTTCGGAGCTTCTAAACAATCTGCAAGGAAAACTTTTCTAAGAGCATCATCTTAGTGACACAACACTGTGAGTTTCTTATCTCTTTTTGTGTTTTTCTATAATAATTTTGCACCTCCATCTGAGATTCTGGGCTTTCAAGTTTCAGAGGAGGATGGTGCATGAGTACAGCAAGGACTGCTCCATTTTCTCTCTGCCACTGGCTGTCTCCTTTCTTATGCAGCTTTTGTCCCTTTCTTCAAAAATCCAATACAAAACATTACACTTTTTGACATGACAAATAACCTGTGATATATGTGTTGGTTGAGTAGAAATTTCGGGGTGGGTTTAGCACATCGAATGGCAAGGGCCACCTGCTCCCTGGCATATCACCCAAGGGACAGAGATCTTTTCCTAAAACAAGTACCTGCCAGTGCTTCCTTGATGTGGACACAAGCACTGTAGGACAAAGGGTTTCAATTTTCCGTATTTTCTGAGACCCAAAGAGGACAATGTTAGGACTAAAATTGGATTTAGAATTCTACCCAAAAGCTTCCGTGGTAAGCTTTATCCCTCCTGAAACACTTCTTTCCCTTTAAAAAAATATTTTGTTAAAAAACACTATGATATGAGGGCGATAGACTATTTGGTTTCTTCTAAGTAGATGCTCTTAAATTAATGCATATAAATAATTTGTATTTAGTTTCCTCTCTTTCCTGTTGAGCAAAGCTTCGAATGCACCAATCCCTACATGTCCAGTCACTTGGTCAATGCCGAGTCTCTTTGTATTTCATTTCTTAAGACAAATTGTGCCTCTCGTTCTGATTTGGCCGTGGGACTCAGGGGTAGAAAGGCTGTGTTTTCACTCGCGCTGTCCTCGGTTTCTACGCTGGCCAGCTCATAGTCTTCTGACCGCCTGGCATCAGTCAGAATCCGGATCTGCTCCTGGACAGTTTCTAGCAATATTTTAACTTCCTGTTGTTCTGCTATAAAACAGTCGCTGACAGGAATACTAACATTGACAATGTCAGCAGAGTAGGAGTTTTTGCACCATTTGATGCTTTTGACCTCAGAAATCCCTGGCATCTGCATGCAGGTTTCTTCTAGACCCACCGAGGGGATGATGGGCACAGAACTGGCCCTTGCCGAGGAGTATCCCACCAGGTCCTTTTGATCCAAGTTATTAAAATAGGGGTTTGTTTCTCTTGAAGGCAGTTGCATATTTATTGATGAATTCTGTTGGGTTTTTAAACCATTGGATGAATACCTAGAAAAGAAACAAAGTGTCATGCATCCTGGTATATGCCTCACCTCTGTAGAGTAATAGGCACCCACAATGCACTTTCCACATGCACCATCTCACTGAATTCTCACAGCAACCCCATGAGACGGATAGTATGCTCCCAGGTAAACAGAGAAGCCAATTGAAACTCAGATTGGTGAAGTGACTTGCCCAAGGTCACACAGAAAGTAAGTGACAGACTGAGACTCAAATCCAGATCTTCTTACTTTAAGTCCAGGGGTCTTTCAACACACCACAGCTGTATAGGCAGGTGGGATATAGTCTTCCTGACCTCTATCCTAGAATACAAAGTAAATGGGGATTGAGCAGATAGGTGTGGCCTTCCCACAGTGACACACAGGAAACCCACTTCCACTCCATCAACTCGACCACCCTCTCAGCCCTGGGGCCTCCAGCAGACATCTGTGGGTCCATGGCCACTCTATTTGGGGGTGAGCACAAAGAGCCCAATTTTAAACATTAGGTGATGTGGCCCTCGAGTCTTTAGCTTAACAATAGCTTTAGGGGATGCAAAACTAATTGTCACATACCATATCACAGGTACTTGGAAGAACTGGCTCACTGGTTAGCTCTTGATTCTGAGGGTGGGGATAGGAGGGACACAATTCCTATGCTTCCCTGAGATGAACATGAAATGTTTCAGGGGGCAACTACCAACACAGCCACCTTCCTAACAGGTTCTGGAGCCCAGCACTGTCAAGGTGGTCTCTTCGTGCATGACAGTGGATTATTGAGAATGACAAAGTTCCATTCCAAGTAATCTGAATGTGCCATAGTCAGTCTGGGCTCCTTCTTGATTATTTGGGGCTGGTGATTTTTTTTCCTCTGAGCTTTGCAGTCTGAGAAAATGGGACAGATATATCATGAATTTATAGGAGTATGATTTGGGGATCAGAACAGTAGCTTTTATTTGAGTTCTTGACTATTTGTCTTTAAACTTGAAATACTAACATAAACATAATGTAATTATATTTGATCTTCATATAAATTTCATTTTCGTGGCTTACATGGTAACAGTTACAAATCTTGTTTAAATAGTAACTGCAATAAAGTGTGTTGCATACAAAGAGAAGTCTTTGTGTACATTCATTGCGGGGACAATTTCATTGTCTGTTTTTCCATCAGAGTGAAAATAGAACTAAGAAACAGATTTAGGGTTTCATAGTCCCACCTACAATAGAGTTAACGGGTCAACAAACCATGGCCTCACATACATCTTTAAGATGAAGCATTTTTCCAGTCCAACTAATACTCATATTCAAACAAAATGACACAGATAACACTTCTACGGTGCTTTGACAAAACACTATTACCTCCAATTATGGGGAAAAAAATAACTCTTCTCCATTGTTGGTGGGAGTGCAGACTGGTACAACCACTATGGAAATCAGTGTGGAGATTCCTTAAAAATCTAGGATTGGAGATCCCATTCAAGCTAGCTGGTCCCTTCCT